AATAATCTATGAATTCAGAATCAGATTGAATGATGGCTCAATAAAAACAGCATTAAACAGTATATTTAAAAAAACACAGGCAGTATAAATGGCAATATTTTATATAACTGTAAATTTGAAAGATTATTTTGAAAAGATTTTGAAATACATATTAATTGAAAACTGGGTTGTATGATAGAAATGTGTGTATGATGTGCTTTATGTAATATTATTTTTTCTCTCTTTCTGACAGCTATAATGTAAATAGTGTGATTATCAGAAACACAAATGTAGACATATTTGTGTATATTATCACCATAAAATTGAAACTATCACCTAACCAACTGATATCTATGAACCATATATAAGCCTATATTTTTACTTTCATGGTTGTATAACAATACAATATCAATTAAGACGGAATGTTTCTACTTAGTTTGTCTGTACTATCTTATGGTTATAATGAGTGAAAATCTTTCAAATGTACTAGTACACTGTAAAAAAAAATATAATAAAATAATAATCATTTTACAGTAGTTTTATTACGAGTATATGAAAACAAGTGAGCGAATTCAGACAGACAAACTCTTGTTTCAATAAAACATTAACATCTAAACCTCTGTAACTTCTCGATAAGAATTTCTGAAGACGTATGAAAGAAATCAAGTCAAATTGGTTTGTAAGTGAAATGCTGTTTGTGGAGTTGTTTATTCATCCTCTGCTGAGATCTTGAGACTTGTAACCTGAGGGTCATGTGTTCGATTCTCAGTACCGGCACGCAGGAATTGTAAGACGAGGAAGTGAATGACCAGCACTCTCTTCCACCTTCAATATCCACAACTGAGGTGCCCTTGAGCAAGGCACCAAATCCCTAACTGCTTCCCAGGCGTCACAGCAAAAAATGTCTGTCCTCCAGGTGTGTGTGTATGTGTATGTATGGACTTCAATGCAGAGCACAAATTCCAAGTATGGGTTTCCTTTTTCGAGAACCAAATTAGCTCCTACTCCGGAGCAGTCGATCGGTTCCTAGTACACACTCTCGGTGCGAATGCAACCCTTTAAATGGTACTGGGAAATAGTTCGCGCAAAATCGTCCCAGTACTTTAGTACTGTACATTTAGTTCTGGAACTAAAGCGGTGCGAAAGGCACCTATCAGTGAGTTACATTAGTTCAGGCATGTGTGCTATTGCTAGCTAAAGCTTAACTCCAATAAGTTAGTTTAACTGAATTATTTATTAAGTAATTTAGTTTAGTATTAGATACACGGAGCATTTGAGCGGTCCGTACGTGCTACAGGGCACATTGGGCAGCAAGCAAATTCCACTGATAGCAATTGTCTGCATGGGTTTCAACTTCTTCCCATTTAATGCCAGCTCGCTTTGAATGTACTTCTTTGGCCTTCCTCGCCTTCTACATCCATTGGACGGCATCCATGTTATTGCAATTTTTGCAAGGCGTTGTTCTGGTTGCCGCATGATGTGCCCTGCCAGTTTGATACGACGCTCAGACACAATGGAGGAAAGTCTATGAGTTTTATCCCTGCGCAGAATCTCTTCATTTGTAACATGGTCGTGGTATGTGACGCGGAGAATACATCTGAGACACCACTGGTGGAATACATCCAACTTGTGGCCAATGCACACTGTATTTTTCCAGGTCTCACAGGCATAAATTGCCATTGGTAACACAATGGACATGTAGAGACAGATCTTAAGTGATGTGTTAATGCTGGGTGGCATCCAGATGTTGCGCATCCTTTGGAACAAATTGGCTGCTTTGCCAATGCGTTGGGTTACATCTGGCTCTGCATCCCCATCCTGTGCGATAACACTGCCCAAGTATGTAAACTGGTCTATATCCGTGAGTGGCTGGTTGCTAATAGTAATTGACATCAGTAGATCTTCATCTTTCCCGCTCATTTGCATCACTTGGGTCTTTTTTGATGTTGACCCGCAGGCCGATCTTAAGTGCAAATCTAAAATTCAAACAGGGTGGTAAGTTGCTGTAGCTTCTCCCGTGACTCTACTAGTAGTGCTATATCATCAGCAAAGTCTAGATCAGCAAGCCTTGTTTGCTCTGTCCATGAAATACCACATGCATGTCCACTTGCTGTCTTCCGCATGGCATAGTCTATGGCAAGCAGGAACAACATGGGTGACAAAATGCACCCCTGCCTAACACCTGTCACAACGTCAAAAAACTCAGATGTTCCTGTGTCGGTTCGCACACAACACCTTGAGTTATGGTAGATGTTCTTAAATATATCAACAAACCGCTGTGGAATGCCATATACTACACAGATTTGCCAGAGTGAATCGAGGTGAACGCTGTCGAATGCTTTCTCGAAGTCAATGAAATTGACCACGAGAGGATGTTGAAATTCAGCACACTTTTCCATGAAGTTATGCAGAGTAAAGATTTGCTCTGTGCAGGACCAGCCATGCCGGAATCTGGCTTGCTCTTCTCGCAACAGTACATCAACTGCATCTCTGAGCCTTATTAGCAGTGCAAAAGGCCTTTCCCGGCACTGACAGTAGTGTAATGCCATGCCAGTTACTACAATAAATGATGTTTCCTACTACTCACTACCTCAATACCACTACTCATCTGGTATTTGTTCTTCCTCCCAGCATTTATTCATCAGCTGTGTCAATGCTTGTACCATACTTGTTCCGCCGTGTTTCAGAAGCTCTGCGGAAATCTGGTCTTGACCTACTGCCTTGCCACTCTTTAATTTTTTCAGCGCTTGCTCAACCTCATCAACTGTGATTTTATCCAGTTTCACTTGCAATTCTGGTGAAAAGTCCCTGGGGTCGAAAGCAAAAGTGCTCTTTGGTTCAGGGTGGTTCAAAGTCTCTCGGAAATGTTCAACTCAGCGCTGGTCTTGCTCGTCTTTCGTCAGCAGTATATTTCCATTCTTATCTCTAATGGGTGCATTGATGTTACTCCTTGTTCCAATCAGTTCTTTAACAATCCTGTGAAAATGAATGAATAAAAGTGTCATTTTATATTAAGAAAATTATTTGTTTAGTGGACTCAAATAAGTTTACATTAATATACTAACATTACAAACAGCATACATATTAGTTTTTGAATGGTTTAAGGCAATTTACAGTGAATTTGCATAATGAACTTAATTGCATATAGATACATCAATTAGAATTATTTTTATTTAACAGTTAATGAAATAAAATACAATTCAATAATAAAAACAGCAGCGACAACATACCACAGGAAATCTGAAGAGGACAGCAGTATTTTTTATTATAGACATACAATTTTTTCGCATGCATGAATAAATATGATTATACAGCATAAACAATGACAGAGTAATTTTTAAAAACTCTGAATGTGTAATGTCACTGGTTTTCGTCTATCGCAGGGAATCCCAAACATTGTTGTCAGACAAACCCCTTTGACCTAAAATATTTTCTTGAAATCCCGAGATGTTAAATGAGTTAGTTCAAAAGTAATCTAAAAGTAGTCAGAATACATTACCTAAAATGCATAATCTAGATTACATTATAAACTACAATTTTCTTCATGTAAATTGTTATAAGTACAGTAACTACACTTTGCACTGCTTACATGTCTGTGGTTTACATAATCATTAATCAGTTTCTCAATAGAGGAAATGAATGAGAATTCCAGAATGTTGAGTAATATTATAAATACATTACAGTTTTTGGACAAAGCTTGAAAAGATCATTCCAAACTCTGAGGTATAATGAAAGTAAAAGTAACAGTTAAAGTTTGCATTTGTTTGCATAGTGTTTTGGTCATGTACAAACATGATAGTTGCCTATACATTTTGGATCAATCTCTTCAGTTTTCTTTTTGTTTATTATTAACTTGTAAGGTTTAAAGTCACTTTCTAGAACCTTAACCTGCTCTGTTGAGCTGTGGTGGATCAAGGATCCATCCTTTATCTTATTATAATAATTCCTGTTTTAAAGTGCTTGTGATGCTCATATGCTGATCTGAATAAAAACATGATACATGTTCCTAAATTACTAAATGTAAATGTACTCTAGCTCAGTTTACAGCTAGTGTCAAAGTTAACAGGTGGTATAATAAATTATTTTAGCTGCACATTTAAATGCCCAGACTTGGCCTGTACTTCATTTAACCAGCACAAATTAAAAAGAGTTATACCAAAACCAAAACATTGGAAAATATCACAAAAAAATATTTAAATGAAAGACAATATCTCTTTGTCGTGAAAATAAATAAATAACCCTTTAAATCACAGGGATGAAATTAAACAATAGAAAGTATTGCAAGAACCAGAATTACAGAAACACAACTCTGTTACAGTTGAGGTCAAACGTTTACATCCCCCTTGCAGAATCTGCTAAATGTTAATTATTTTACCAAAATAAGAGGGATCATACAAAATGCATGTTATTGTTAATTTAGTAACCTACTGCCCTGAATAAGACATTTCACATAAAAGATGTTTACATATAGTCTACAAAAGAAAATAATAGTTGAATTTATAAAAATGACCCGGTTCAATGATTCTTAATACTCTTGTTACCTGAATGATCCACAGCTGTTTTTTTTTTTGTTCATAAGTCCCTTGTTTGTCCAGAACAGTAAAACTGCCTGCTGTTCTTCAGAAAAATCCTTCAGGTCCCACAAATTCTTTGGTTTTTCAGCATTTTTGTGTATTTTAACCCTTTCCGAAAATGACTGTATGATTTTGAGATCCATCTTTTCACACTGAGGACGACTGAGGGACTCATATAGAACTATTAGAGAAGGTTCAACCGCTCACTGATGCTCCAGAAGAAAACACAATGCATTAAGAGCCGAGGGCTGTACTATTATATTACCCCCCAACTACTATATTACTAATTCAATTATTAATTTCTCTTGTGGATTATATGGAAACATCTTTTATATGAAATATCTTATTAAGGTCAGTAGGTTACTAAATAAGCAATAACATGCATTTTGTATGATCCCTCTTATTTTGGTAAAATAATTAACATTTTGCAGATTCTGCAAGGGGGGGTGTAAACTTTTGACCTCAACTGTATATAGATACTTCCTCTTGAGGTTAAGGGGTAAACAGTTAAGTGCATTACAATTAGTGTTTCATTATTAACATTAACAAAACCAATGGGAATATTTTTCAAAATTGTAAATAAAACAGATTAATCTATTATGTTTTACAGTAACGATTATTTCTGTAAAAAAAAAAATGTTCTCTTATTTTATAATCACACTTTTGGGACTGTCTTTCTCCTTCTGTAAGAAAACAATAAATCATAGAAGGTAAAGTTAGAGAAACAAACAGTGCTGTTTACAGTTCAAATCAGACACAATAAACACATTCGTCACGTATCATTCAATTAGATTTTTTATTTGTCATTAGGATGATTTTGTCCATGCAAGTAAAATCAAACACAGATCTTGGTGTCATGTAAAGTCAGTTTTCAGTACAGTATCTTACCTCATTTGGGCAGTAGTCCTTCATACTTGTTTTTGTCCCTGTCTGCTGTGAAAAAATAAAAAAATCACACACGCACACAATTCAATGACGAAGGTCATTATCAGGAAATATTTGGAATGTCGCAACTGACCAATCACAACCAAGCATTCCAGGGAGCCAAATATTAGTTTTGCATTAAGCACATGATGTTTCCCTCTCACTATAGTATCTGCATGTAATACTCACCATTTCTGGAGCTCCTACGGCGATAGTAAATCCCACCAGCAGCAGCTACAACAGTCACCAGCAGCAGAACAGCAGCACATATTCCTGCTACAGCAGCTGAAGACAGACCTGAATCTGTAATGAGAGAAGAGAGACAGTCATTAGTGCGAGAGAATATGTCTTTGTATACCATATTCACTAGATGGACACTATTGCATGTCCAAAAAGCTCATTCCTCTGTTGAAACAATAGGTATTATTTCATTATGGAATAGTTTATGAAAGGTTTAGGAATAGTCTATGAGGTTGGCCTCCAGAAATGTCAAGAAACGCCTTTTCACTCTTTGTGATCTTGTGATACAATTGTCGCATGTCAAACGTCACTATGTACTTATGTATTTGTCTGAAGAGCTGCCGTGTATCTGTTTGCCTTTCCAGAACCATAATAATCATTGTTTGTTGAATTACAGGTTTGGAGGAAGCATTTTATTGGCTTCAAGTCTTTAAGCTAAAGTCAAGCTCCCTTTAAGAACAATGCATTTATAGATATGCTGTACTACATTATATGCAATCTATTAAGAGATAAAAAAGGAAAGGTGAAAATATACCCAAGTCAAACTCCCTCTTCTCCATACGGGGCTCTTCATTGGTTTTGACTTGATCAGACAGAGCAGCTGGAATAAAAATAAAGAAATATAAAGGAACACATTGATATTGAATTGATGCTGAAAAATTAAGTCCTTTTGGCAGTTTCTGTTCATTTGTATAACTGCAGGAAAAACTTTTAGAAAACATTCTCCAATGCCACATTAATAATATTAGTTGCATATGCTGTGCAATTAAAGTTGTTATAGTCTTTTCTTCCCTGTGTGTGAGTGAAATGACATCTCAATAAATAAATAAAACATGAAGGCAGGACTTGATTTTGTTTATTGGGAATTGATTGGATCACTGGATGGGTAAGTTATTTTGATTATGAGGGCACATTAATTTGTGCAAGAATCATCCATTTTGATTTCATAGTAACTTCAAAGAAACATGAACCATCAGGAATAAATTATAGTGTTAGGTCATCATAATAAGGTTCTTAAAAGACCATTTATTCAATTAAAATTGTAATAAAATCTATCCATCAAGCCTTTTTCTAATCCACTTGTGTTTTGCAGGATCACAGGATCACAGGATTTCAGAAATGTCAGACATTTAATCAGAAATGTAGTTTTTATGTTGATGAACCATTATGTTTACAGCATGCCTATGAAGTTGAATTTGGTTTTTATAATATGTATTTTTGTATTATAATAGAAAAATCACTGATTTGTGTTCTAATATGTAATTTATTCAAAACAAACACACACACACACACACACACAAACAGTTAAGGGTAAATTACATTGAGTAACTCACCAATGACGATCATATTGAAAGTTTTTATGGTATCATCATGACTGATGCTGATTCTTCTGGTGATTTTTCTGCTGTCACACTTGCGATTTCTGTTCAAACTTTGCCTTTTTCCTGAACTCTCACTTCTGATGATCTCTGCTTCATAACGTCCAGCGTGTTCAGTTGTGATGTCTGTGATGGTCAGAGATCCAGTCTTATAGTCCACCTCCAGTCTGTCTCTGAATCTCCCGTCTTCACCATCATATAAACAGCTCATATTGGGATGTCCATTGATCAGAGCTATACGAGTGTCTTCAAAATACCACAGCATCTTGTCATGTTCTTTTTTGGTGATATCAGTGTGTAGAGTGACTGTATCTCCCTCCATCACTGTCACCACATCATCACCAAAAACACCTGGAAACACAAATATATAGTTACTCGATAATGTTTACTTTATATAATTTTAATGAAGTGTTATGAATTAAACAGTTCATAAGCATGCTTCATCATTAGAAAAAAAAAGAACATGTTAAACATGAAAGTACTAAGCAATCATTTAAAATATTTCTCCTTATAAAGAACCTGTTTGTCATAAAGGGTTCTTAAACATTCAGTCAAGAACCTTTGTCCTATTGTAGAGACGCTGGAGTCCATCCCAGTGTCTCAACCTGTAGGAAGGGAAACACCTGGCAAGTTTCACAGGTGTTGTGTTCATGGATGAGCCGATGCAGCGTACAACTGATCACACAGCGTAGCAGGTACGTAACTGAACTTTATTGAAAACTCACACAGTACCAGACCCCCTGCTTAGGGGCGTGGCTCCTCAATAGCAATCTCACTAATCAGATATCACTACATCTCCCCTTCCCCAAACAATGAACTTTGTGAACCCAAGAATGTTACTATTGTGGCATAATAAACATAATGTAACCATGCTTAACCAATTCTAAGCATATATATGCTGTGCTTCTCTAATGTACAGGAAGATTATTGCTTGAATAACATCCTTCATCACAACAATTTGTCTTTCACATTACCATCCATTTCACAGTTTGACCACTTTTTTTCCCACATAAACATTGTCTTCTTTCTTTCTAAGGAGGTCAGTATACAGGAAGTGTAATCAGGGAGAACAGAAAGGGGTGTTGGCTAATCAGATACCACAGAAACAGACAGGCAACACAGGAATAGGATACAAAACAAAAACAAAACTGGCTATATAATCCTGACAACCATTGCAGGGGTTTCAATAACGTTATAAATTGAATTATCCCTAAAACATTTCTGCTGAAAATGTTGAGCAGAGTCAATTTAATCTTCAGCGCATCAGAAATCCAGTTTTATGTTGATGAACCATTGAATTAGCACTGAACCTTTTTCCTTGAGAAATCTGGTAGAAAATGAAAGAACTCGTATATTCAATGTGCCGATGACAGTCAAATGCAGGCTACACATTCTCTCTAGACTACACGTCCGTATGTGTACAAAGAATAAAGCCTACATGTGTTATGCATTGTCACTAAGCTAACCTAACTTTCATGGGTCGCTTTTCGCCATTTCCTTCTCCAGAACAGGAACTGGCTACCTAAAATAAATGCCATCCCGAAACACAGAATAAGGACAATCGTGGCACTGTATTATTAAAATAGCCTATTTAATTATTTAAAACAGCGACAAATACAATCCAAGTTGATGTGAAATCGCCATTTTCCATCGCTGAAAACCAAAAGGGCAGAGGATACAAATGTAAGCGTCTTACCATGAACGAGGAAAATAAAAAGAGTGAGCACAAAATAGCATCCCATGTCAACCGCGGTCTCTGTTAGAGCAGATTCAAATGGCGTTGCTCCGTTGATCTACTTATGGCTTTTCTCCTTCGTTCTTCCAAACCAAAAAGAACCCAAATTACAATAATCGTTATCTTGTGTGTCAAATTAAAACACGCATATCGCGTAGCCTATTGCGCATAGTCTAGTCAAAAAATGAAAGTAAAAGCACTGAGTCTCTTTAAAAGCATGTGTTTTCCCACAAAATGCCACACTAATTAGACAGTCAAAGCGAAACCTGCGGTAATCTTAGTTAGACCTCGAATCAGGCTATTAATTAATTATTTAAATCGTGCATTCGGCGCTTTTATAAGCGCTAACTTAACGTACGAACCGAACGGAGCAGTTCTCAGCGCAATATGACTGAAGCGCAGTTTAAGAGCGTCGCGCGAATCACCGAATACTCTGCGTGCGATCACAAGCGAGCTCGAGAAGTGTGATACGATTTCCGCGAGCCATTCTTATCGCGAAGCTGATGGACAAATATGTGATCTATACTTGAATTATTAAGAGAAACAGCCACTTTAAAATGCTATGGAGAAAGTCGAACAGTATCTAAAAAAAGGCAAATAAACTGATGAAAAGAGGAGAAAACAGCCTTGAACCAGCACATATATTAGGTTACAATCTTTTTCAACTATTTATGACCACCTTTACTAGAATTTATCACGTTTTATTGTAGGTTTATTTATTGTGCAAAGTTTAGTCTAACTTGTTGTATAGAATTTATATTAGATGATCTGTTAAGAGAATAGATTTTTTCCCCTATAGATTTATATTACAACTGTGGCATGTTGTAGCTAATGGTTCTAAATGTGCAGGCGGTTGTTTCTTCATAACACATGCTATATTAATTCATAAAAATAAAAAAAGTCATTGTTGGCCTGGTAATGATTAATAGGCTAGTCTTATTATAGCAAATGCTACAGTTAAGAACTATGCTACATGGCCTTCAGATATTCCAAAAGATGGCATAGATTAAAGCATTGAGAGCCTGATGAACTGTTAAGGAGTAAGAAATCAACAATATCAATATAAGAAAATGTTATAGATTGACTTCCCATGGCATGTTGAATTAGAACAATTCAAACTATAGCCCATAAGTGACTAAATAATATAAAATACATTACAAAGATATATCCTAAACAAGTAATTGTTAACTATGATGTTACTTTATTGCACCAACTTTGCATAGATGATATGGCACAAAACACCATATCACAAAAAAATAAATATATAAGCAAACAAACAAATAAATAAACCTTATGAGTGAGCATGACCTGGGACTCTACTAAAACAGTTCACACTTTTGATTTATTATTATGAAGTTAGTATATCAAAAAAAAAATTTAAAAATAAAACTACCTGGGACTCTACTAAAACAGTTCACACTTTTGATTTATTATTATGAAGTTAGTATATCAAAAAAATAAATAAAATAAATAAAACTGCAATCACAATAGTATATTGTTTGAACACAATGAACACTGTCAAAACCAGCCCTCTTATTTACTAATAACATTATTTAATCTGATTTAGCTCATGTTTTCAGCTCGTCTGCCTGTTCCTGTCATCAGCAGAGACTCTTCACAATGTTCTTCATCATCATCATCATATTGTTCATTGTTGTGTTCAGTGGTGAATGTGAGTCATGTGACTCTCTCCTGGTACAAAGGAAACAGTTTATTGTCCAGCATCAGTGTGTCTGATCTCAGCATCAGTCTCTCTCTACCTCTGGAGGTGGAATATCAGGATAAAAACAGCTACAGCTGTGTGCTCAACAATCCCATCAGCAACCAGACCACACATCTGGACATCACTCAACTCTGTCACACATGTTCAGGTATGACAATGGTGAGATTAGTGTTTATTCACTGATCTGTTAACCAACAGCTGTTCAATAACACATTAAGCTACACAAAACACACACAGTGCATTTGTATCTAGTCACTGCTTTATAACTGAACTTGTGAATAAAAATATACACATGAAAAAGAGCTGCTTGGAAAGTAGTTGTGAGACAGAACTAAATGTTATATTAATCTACAGGCCAAAAACATTAGATTAGCACTGGTTCGTTGCCTAGTAGTCCACAACCCAGAATAAGTGTAGCTTTCACACACGCTTCACATTCAGTCCCACTTTTTCTGACTTTGCCTGTAAAATTTGACTATGCAAATGTGTATGTAAATGTGACACTGTAATAATGGTGGAGTAGAAGAGAAAGCAGGCAAAGAGACAGATCTAAATACAAGAGGATATTATTTTTTAAACTTAAAGTCAAAACAAGGACTGTAGGGAACAGAAACACATCGACATTCGACAACTGAAAAAGCAAAAGGGGAAATGCAAATGAGGCACACCTGGGTCAGACAATCACCTGATAAAACTACAAAGAACTACAAACATGGCACTCCAGACAGGAAGTGACAAAGCGGCCTATAGCAAACATAACATGGATCCAGAACACCTGAGAAGAGATGATGCAACCCCTCAGAGGACCTCAGATGATGCCAACCCTGAAACAACATACAGAACTACCAAACTTTTGCTATAAGTTTGATTGCATCATATAATAATTGCTGTTAATAGTGTTCATCGTCTGTATGATTACGTCTTTAATTGATTTTTCCGTACATTTCTGCCATATGTACATTAACTGACAGTCACCACTGATAAGCTACTACTAAATATTGTAGAAACTTAATTTTCTGTTAAGCTGCTTTGCAGCGATTTGTATCGTAAAAAGTGCTATACAAATAAACTTGAATTGAATTGAATAGAATATCAAATTCACAATCAGAATCTGAATCAGAAGCAAACAGTAAACCAACTATATGATGTCAACAAGTAAAGCAGCAAAATCTGAGTGGGATGTTCACTTAAATACAGATCAGGCTGACACTAATGATTGTGTCTCTCTATCATTACAGGCTCTCTGTATCTGATAGTGTTGATCTCTGTTGCTGCTGTGGCTGGATCTCTGTTGATTGTGGCTGCATTCTGGATATTTCTCACGTGCAGGAAATGCAGAAAAACTGATCAAAAAGGCAAGTTGTTTGGTTGTTTATCTATAAAGTGACATTGGGCATTGGTCTTTAGTCGTCTTGCTCAGATTCTGCATTTCTCAAACTGCTTTAAAGCATATTAGAAATACAGAGACAGAAATGCAATTCTGCATAAATTCAATTATACAGTAACTCAGTAATACAATCCTGCATGCAAAAAAATGCAGAGCTCAGCTGGTGTTCACATTAAAATGTCTAGAATAACACTGTTTCACTGGTGGGTGACATTTTACTTCTGCTTCAATTTATTACATTTCATCATATTATAGAAATGCAAATTACTTTAGCATTTGTCTTAGTATGGTTTATAAATTACCTGCAAAGAATGCCTTTAAAGTTAATTTTCTGCATGAAATTTTAACTGAATTAATTTGTTAAAGGGGTCATATGGTGCAATTTCAAGTTTTCCTTTCTCTTTTGAGTGTTACAAGCTGTTCGTGAATAGATAAGAACCCTGAAGTTGCAAAGACTAAAGTCTCAAATCCAAAGAGATATTCTTTATAAAAGTTAAGACTCGTCCACGCCCTCCTAAA